CAGCCCCCGTCGGTTGAGGAGGGGCAGGGGTGCGATGGCAGAGCTGCGGTTTAAGCAACAGACGTGTGGGTGCCTGCTGGCACTTTGCTACCGCTAAAGCAACTCAGCGGAGCTGGAGCAAATCTGGACATCGCCGGCCACGGTACAGCGGGCTGCGAGCCCCACGTGGGCCCGCTCGGAGCAGGTCTCCCATGTGTCGTGGCGTGCCCCTGCCTATTTTTTCTCCTTTACGGGCCCCGCACAGATTCCAGGTGGAGGAGACGGTGCTGGATAAGCTGAAGATCACCTTTGGGAACAGCAGTGACTTCTTCGGGAGGATCGTGGTGTACCACCTCGGGGTGCTGGGGGAGCGGCTCTAGGGCAGCGGCGAGGGACAGCATGGGGGGCCGCTCCCCCCTCGCCTGCGCTCCCCCGTGGGGGCAAATGGGACAGCAAACCCTGCCAGCGGGGACACGCTGCCCCCAATTGCACCCCAAGGCTCTGAGGGAACCCACACCCCTCGGGACGGCAGGGACAGAGGGACGCTAGTGGAGATCCACACACCGGAATTCCGAGCCTTTGGCGGGGCGCAGCCTGTGTAACCAGCCCAATAAACGGTGTCCCCGCTCCCTCCGGCTGCTCCTTGGGCAAGCGGCCCCCCAGGACCGAGCCCTCCGGGGTTTGCCACGGCCGTGCCGGTGCATGGCTCGAGCAGGTGAGAGGGGAAGGGCCACCTCCACGTGCTGCGAGCCCGGGCTGTCTCTCACCTTTGCTATAACCACCCCTGAACTCCTTGGAGCAGCTCTTTGCAGCCTGGCGGGGCTCCGGCTTGGGATCGCAGCGTGCCGGCTGTCAGCCGGAGCCGTGCCGTGTTCGTGGCTGGCCGGGTGATGCTTCCTGCGGGGTTTTGCTCCTGCCTATGGATATTTCCCTGGCTGGTTAGAGCGCTGCGTGCAGGGAGGGCTTGGCAGGTTTATGGGCTTAAGAGGGAGCTTCCCTCCTCAAAGAGACAGCTCTGGAGAGGAATTTTTTTTTGGGAGGGTGCAGGCCTTGAAGAGGTTGGTTGGCCCAGTTCCCCTCACAATTCCCCAGTAGCTGGTGCTGGGATTGGGGACTGGCAGCTGTGACAGGCTGAGGCAATGGACAAGGAAGGCTCCGCACGGCTGCTTTAGCGTTTACTTCCATTAATGCGATACCTGAATGCACACGCGCACAAAGCAGCCGAGCCTGGACAGGGCAGAAATGCAGCTGCCGTGAGGAATGAGTGTCCCCGGGTGCAAGGCACTGTGGCCGTGCCACCCTCCGGGAGAGGCACAGGTCCACGGAGGGCAGGCAGTTCCTGGCTTCCTCCGCGTGCTCCTCGCCTGGAGCATCGCGCCGCTGCCCGTTTCGGGACGGCTGGGTGAGGCCGTGTTGGTCCCAGAGGAGAGCCCTGCGTCAGCCGGGAGAAGCGCTGGTGCTGCGGTGGTGCAGCGCGAGCTGCCGCGTCACTCCAGCTCCTTTTTCTGAAATAGCCTGAGGATGTGATTTTCGATAACCTGTTGGACTAACGGAGAGGAGAGAAGTGAAACCCAGGGAAGCCAAGCCTGTGAGAAGCCAGTACTGCTGCGGGCAGGACCTGGTCACCATTTTGCTCCTGTTTTCCAGTGGGAGGTCGGAAAACCCCTTTCTCCGGGGGCCTGTCCCCATCTACCCTGTCCCAGCCCTATCGCCAGCACAGCTCTGGTTTGGAGGGGGAGCAAGGGGAACAGGACTCATCTTGATTTCTCTGGCGCAGTTTCTCTGCATGGCAGAGCGGGGAGCTGTGGTGGAAGGTCAAAAAAAGCCCCGAGCAAGGCTGGAAGCTGGGAATTGCGTGGAGGCTTTTTGAGGAGGGAAGGCAGGGCTCCCTGCCAGGCACGGAGGGGACACTTGCCTTTCTTGTGTCCCAGGGCCACGGCCAGATCCATCGGGGTGTAGCCAGAATCTGCCTCCATCGTCAGGTCGGCGCCGCGAGCTGCAAGCAGGCAGTGGAGATCAGGGCGCGGTGCTCCCCTGCCGATGTGGTGTCCCCTCCGGGTCAGGCACAGGGCGAGGGGACCCCCAAAAGGTGCCCGTCCTGGCTCAGCAGCCCCCCATGACACCCCGAGGCTGCTCAGTTTCTCCCCCCAGGCATGTCACACTCTCTCCCCGAGGCGGTTACCAACGAGCAGAGATCCGAGGCCAAGGACTAAATGCAGATCTTCCCCGTTACCTAGTAGGGCCTCGACACACTTGACGTGATTGCCGCGCACGGCGTAGAGCAGAGGAGTGCCGCCGTTCTGCAGGGAAAGGGAAGGGGCTGTGTCATTGCTGGCCTCGCACGGGGCCGTGCTCATGCACCTCCCGCTTCTCCCAGAGCGGTAGGTCCCCGACCTGCTGGGATCCCCTTTCCGCCCTCTCCCAGCTCGGGGCTGGGTGTTTTCTCGCAGAGCAGCTCTGCGCAGGTTTTATTCTCTGTATGCGATACAATAACTTTTAAATTGTGTAATTTTAAAGACAACCTTAAGTTCTGAGCGCCGTTTCCTTGCGGCTGGTAACATCACCAGTGTGAACAACTGAGGAAACCATTTAAAATTATTATCCAGATTAATTTCTCGTAACAACTGCATGAGCAGGCAAATGAGCGCTGCGAGCCTGGGAAACATCTAGGAGAAAGGCACTGCTGCTAACTCAGCCCAGAACGATGTGAACTCGCTGCTGCTTTTTAAAATGAGCTTTGCGGAGCCCCATCCGGGGCTGGGTGTCGCTCCCGGCACTGGCGCGGTCCCCGCAGCAGCCTGCGCCCGGCGGCACTCACCCAGTCGTAGATGTTGATGTCCACGTTCCTCTCCAGCAGCATGATGACAATGTCGGTGTAGCCGCCCATGCTGGCCAGGGACAGGGCGCTCTCCCGCTCCTTCGCCAGCACGTGGGGGTCAGCGCCCTGGGGACGGCACAGGCGTCAGCCCCGACAGGCGAAGGAGCCCTGCTGGGACCCAGGGTGCTCAGCACAGCCTTGCTGGGTACCCCAGGAGGGCTGAGCACAGAGCCAGGTCCTGACGGCCCGATGGGGTACAGACAGCTCCCATGTGCCCAGTGACCTCTCCTTACCAAAGTCCCTACTGGGCATATTTTAATCATCATCAAACATCTCAGGTGAGGACTTAAAAGCCGTTCGCCAGTGTCAGAAACCAAGCCTGATGGTTCCTGTTACTCGGCCCTTTTCCCCATCGCCAGTAACGCTGTTACTGGTGCCATCTAGATGCCCGTACAGCATCCACCATCTCTTTTGTTCCTGATTTACCTAGAAAACCTCCCTGTCCTCCAAGCCCTGCCAGCCATGGATCCCTCCTGGACTTCATTATAGCCTTTATCAATGTATCACCTCGTTTATTTTGGGTTCTGTTTGTGTCTCTGGTAATGCATTGCAATTTTGCTGCTAATACAGTAACAGAGCCAGAGTTGGGCCAGTGCTTATGTGGTGTGAGTGCTTGCTGGCCATTGGACACACATGGATGTGGGACGGAGCTTTGGGGAGCAGCTTGATCCGAAATGCAGGAGGACCTGGTTCTTGCTCACCCCCAGACAGTCCTCGACTGCAAGCCCAGCACTCAAGGACGATGCAGCAATGAGTTCATTAACTACAACGATACCTTGGCGAGCACATTTGCTGGCGGATTACAGGGCCCAAGTGATAAGCCTGATCTCAAATTACCAATAAGCAGATACTTAATTACAAACAGTTATTGCTAGCTGTGAGATAAGGTTCTTCATGCTCCTGACTTAGCTCACAGCCCAATGGGGAGTAGGATCCGACAGCATCTGAGCCGTTAGCTCTGCAAACGTGTCCTGTTTGGTGCCATGGGGAAGATTGGCTGAGATGGTACCAGAATGGTGCTGGACAATTTGGCAGGCACCGGGATTGGAGCTGGGAAGTCTCCTGTTCACGAGGTGCTGCGTGAGCCCAATGGCCTTACCCATTCCAGCAGGTGACGGACCGTTTCGATCTCTCCGAAGGCTGCAGCCCAGATCAGCGGCGTGAAACCTCTCTCATCAGGTTTATTTACCAAGTTCTCACCTGCACAAACATGGATGAGACATCGTAAATAGGAAGGGTAAAGGCCCCACTTCTGCTCCCTGTCCCCCCAATGAAGGCTGTAAAACTAAGCCAAGGGTTTATCAAAAGGTGTGCTGGCCGGACTCTGCACGCTCTGGGGTAAGAACCCAAAGGAATAGCCGCGTACCTTTCTGAAGGTGCTCTTTCAGCTGGCTGAGCTCTCCTTGGGCAGCAAGCTGGTGGATGGACAATGCTGTGGGACAGAAAGAATTCACCCATCAGGACAAACTTTCCCCAGCTCTGCACCCACCATCTGTATGTGGGTCCCCGCAAGTCTGAGCCCCCAAAAAACCCAGTGGGTAACTGACACCCTTCTGCCGTACAGCGGTGGGGACAGCCAGGCATGGCGAGTGCTGAGAGCAACGGCGCTGCAGGGAGCAGCCCAAGAGACCACCCCGGCGGGCACTGAACGGCGTGGCAGCAGGAGACGGAGGGAGGCTCCAGCCCCACTATCCCTCTGCTCCCTCTACACCCCGTATGCATCTACAGTCTGGGACGCAGAGCCCGCTCTTACCGGCGGTACTCACTATCCAGCGTGGCTGGGAGGGCCGAGACCTCGTTGCCTCGCTGCCTGTTCGTCAGCGTGTTCGAATGCTTCAGGGGGAAGCCTGTTCCAGAGAGAGGAGAGAGTCAGGGCACATCTCCTCCATGCAGAGGGAGGAACTACGCTGACTTGAGGCCAAGAACCTCATGAAAGCTCAGGGCTCATGCACCTTATCTGCAGCTGTTCTCTCCTGTCCCTGGCAAAAACTGAGTCCTGCAAAAAAGGAATTATTCCCTTGCAAGTAAAGAGCCTGGAGGCTGAGGTTTGACCAGCGAGAGCGGACCAACAGCTGAGCAGGGAAGATAAAACAGCTGGAACAGCTGCCCAAGGAGGGGCAGGGTGCATCTGGGGCACTGCGGGAGGCAGGGATCTGGCATTAATGGCATAATTGCAAATGATATACTGCGGAGGACAGCCTGGGGGATGCACTCAAGTTCATCCTCATATTTCCCACCCTTGAAGAGCTCCACTTGGAAATCTCAATGCGTTTTCAACAAGCCATTTGTAGCTTAATTAGGAAAGTATATGGAAAGAGTTTGCCATCTCCGATTGCACCACATGGAGCTGCAGCGACCTCTCACTGCTGGCACGAGTCATCAGCAAGGTCTAGGTTTGGACTTGGCCTTCCACGTTATGGGAGGGACCAGCAGCAGTAAAAGACTGTTTTCTAGCTGCCTTTGTGGGATGAGAGATCCAGCCGACCTCTCCCATGCCTGTCTCTCACTGGGGCTGCACCTGAGGCTCTGCAGCACTCACTGTCAAGGGCCGAGAGCTGGGTGCTCCTCTGCCTGTCCATCGAGGCAACCGAGGGCTTTGGGAGAGTGCCTGCTCCACCTACAAAACAAGGGCGGCCATTAGGGACCTTGGTTCCACTTGTTGGGGCGCAGGCTGGGCTCCGCATGCGGCACAGCAAGACCCAACCAGCGCGGCAAGCACCCTGTGTGCTCCCCGGTCCCGGGGCGGCGGGCACGCTGATCCCACGTTACAGGGGGACAGGCGCTGCAGGATCCTGGGTCCGTGCATGCCCCATCTCGCCTCCCAGCACCCCGTCACCCCCAGCACTCACCATGCCTCTGGTCCAAGCATGGCGTGTCCTGGTCCGGCTGCAGACGCCCCAGGGGGGCACCGCTGTCCCCCGTGTCCCTGGTTGCAGCCAGCTCCTCTGCGGTTGTTGCTCCCTTGGCTCTGTTTTCACCCGCTTTCAGGAGCTCCTGGGCATCCCCGTCATTGCGGGGGGTCTCCACAAGATGAGTGACCGCTTTTTCACCTTCCATGGGGCAGCTGCTGCACAACAACGCGTTAGGAAGGGGGAAAAAGCGGGGACATGT